GTGGAAGCCGAGGTGATCGAACCATTAACCCATCAACGTGGAAGGGTAAGGCTAGAGAGTTACCCTATCATCATATTCATATTAGAGAAAACTTTCCTGGGCCTCCCAAACTGCTTTCAAAAGAAAAATTACATGGAGAAGCAGAGTCTATCTTGCTGGGTTTATTTGAAGAGGACGTTATCAGCGTCGTTATAACTGAAGACGAAGACACCTACGCACTGGAGTAGGAAGATTCTTTTGAACCCTTTCCTTATTGTTGCCTTTACAATTTGTCTGTTTCATATTGATGTTGTTTGCAATTTCAATCCAGTTGCAATTTACATTCCTTTTGATATAGATGTAATTGCATTTTTCCATTCAATAAAAGTGTTCAATGTTTTGTTAAGGACGTATGGAAACAAAACCAAACTAATGATGAATATTGCTTTCACACGTGAGGCTTGAGGCTTTGGGTTTCCATATGACTCCTAATTGTGAAAACGGTTTTAAGAGCAAGGATGTCCAAGGATATGAGGATTAGCTCTATTCTCTTGCTCTCTTCAAAACAGATTTCAAAATAATTTTTCAAAATGGTTTTTCATTAAACCCCATGCATCAATTCATTTCATATGCAATTACTAATCATGTTTGTTATATGTCAGGCATGAGCATTCACACATCCATAATAGGTTCGTATGTGACCCAAATCTCTCCAAGGAGATCACTTGTGATATTGAAGTGGATAATGAAGATGAGGAATGGATCAGAAGAGAATAGATCCGTCATGAAGAATCAAAGCCACTCACGTTAGAGAAAACGATTACTGTTAATCTGGATAATAAAGAGAACCTAAAAGAGGTTAAGATTGGAGAAAGTCTTCCTTAGCAGAAGCAGAAAGAATAACAGATTTGCTCAAGGAATATCAAGATATATTCGTATGGTCCTATGCTGACATGCCAGGCCTTGATCCAAGTATAGTTGAACATGCTTTGTCAATTGATCCAAGTATTCCACCAAAGAAGCAAAAATTGAGGCGAACAAAGCCGGAATTAGCAAAGAAAATAGAAGAAGAAGTGATGAAATTACTCAAAGTCAGTTTCATCGAAGTAGTGCCATATCCAGAATGGGTTGCCAACATAGTAACCGTAATGAAGAAAGATGGTCGGGTGCGGGTGTGCGTCGATTATCGCGACCTAAATAAAGCAAGCCCTAAGGATGATTTCCCGCTTCCACATATCGATGTATTAGTGGATAGCACTGCTGGGTTCGAAACATTTTCATTCATGGATGGCTTCTCAGGATATAATCAAATCCTCATGAAGAAAGAGGATAAGGCGAAAACATCCTTCATAACGCCATGGGGCATATTTTGTTATAAGGTGATGCCTTTCGGTCTGAAAAATGCCGGTGCCACATATCAAAGGGCAATGGTAACTCTGTTCCATGACATGATGCACAAAGAAATCGAAGTATATGTGGATGACATGATTGCAAAATCCAAACAAGGAGAAGATCATGTTGAAGTGCTTCACAAATTGTTCGAAAGATTTAGAAAGTACAAGTTGCGACTGAACCCCAATAAGTGTGTATTTGGGGCAAAATCTGGCAAACTGCTAGGATTTGTGGTCAGTAATAAAGGAATCGAAATTGATCCTTCTAAGATCAAAGCAATATATGACTTGAAGACTCCTTCTACGGTAAAAGAAGTGATAAGCTTGTTAGGACGATTAAACTACATTGCCCGTTTCATCCATCAGCTTTCTGAGACTGCTAAACCATTCTTCAAACTGTTGAAGAAAAATGTCAAAGTAAAATGGGATGCAGAATGTCAACAAGTTTTTGACAAGATCAAAGAATATCTGGTATGCCCACCAGTGTTGGGACCCCCAATTCCTGGAGACCCGCTGATCTTATATTTGACGATTCACCATGAGTCGCTAGGAGCGGTGCTTGTATAAAGAAGACCAAATGATGGTAAAGAACAAGCCGTTTATTACTTGAGCAAGAAATTAACAACATTAGAAGTGAATTATCCAGCAGTTGAGAAGACATGCGTTACATTAATTTGGGTATTATACATATTAAAATAGTACACCCTTCGTCACCAAATTTTGCTAGTGACCAAGAATGACCCGATCAAGTATCTTCTTGAGAAATCTTCCTTGGTTGGGAAATTAGCAAAATGGCAAGTCTTGTTATCTGAGTTCGATATCAGAAGTTCATCCTAAAAGTTAGTCAAAGAACGAGCGATAGCAGACATGCTGACAGAAAATTCACAAAATATCACCAGTTCTGAAGAACGACTTGATGATCATATATTAACATTGGTCGATGATAAATGGACCATGTGTTGACACCTAATTTTTAGCTCATTTTTGTCATATTTTCAAAAGTTTCAAAATTAGGTCTAGGGATCTTGGCTAAGCCCGGAAACCTATTTCTAAAACCAAAAAATAATTTTTAAGCATTTTTTTGTATTTTTTCTGAATTTCTTTTAGTCAAAATAAGCAAGAAAATAAAAAGAAGTAAATGGAATCAGAAAATTCCATAAAAATAGTCACTAATCTTCTTTTAAATCCAATTTCATAAATACACTGTCAATTTTAGAAAATCTCAATCGGGTACATGTTTTTCCCAAAATTGGGCAAAATTAAACTCGAATTTAACCAAAAATGAAATTAAATTTTTTCTAGACATTTTTAGGTCATAGTGTCTTCACAACAATTGATTTTGGGACCTTTAAGCTGCGCATGACAACCATTCTGTGCCCGGGAACAGATTCTGCTCAGAAATGATTCTTTTTTATTCTGTGCCCGGTAACTGATTCTGAGCATTTGAAGGCGTTTGATAACTGGCCAAAATTTCTATTCCTGGAATAGAAAAAGAACAGAAATGCGTTTGATAATTGTAGAACTGATTCTATTCCAAAATTTTTTCAAATGCTTTTTAAAACTTGGTATTTACAATTGTCATGGAGCACTTACCAATTATTTTTTTCTTGTAAGTGAAGGAAACATGGTGCACATGATGATATGAATATACCAAGTATTTACATGGTGATGTCCTCATCAGGTCAAAGTGTCCATCAACACAAAGTAGCATCAATTGTTGAGAAATAGAATCTTCGCAGTATATAGAAAAGAAATAAATGAGAAAAAAAAAATCAGGACCATGATGCTGGCAAAGTCAATTTGCCAAAAATTCCCTTCTATCAATTCTTAAGGGGTGGGGCTACTTCCACCCCCATTTTAGATGGAACCACACGTTTTTGTTTTAAGTGAATTTTAATAATGTTTGAGAATTGTCTATGAATGAAATCAGACTCCTTGGTTTAAACAAAAAATTCCAATTGTTTTATCGATTCACACTTTTTGTACAGGACTTAGAATGGTCAATAATCAAGGAAAGAATATTCTGAGGTCATTTCGACCCTTAACTTTGAATGGAAAGTAAGTGAATTTTAATAACGTTATTAATATTTAACTGAGTATCAATGGCATAAGGGTGTTATTGTCACTTTATATAAAAAGGTGGTTTCATCCAAAATGGGGGTAGCAATAGTCCAGCCCTTCTTAGGGAGGTCAAGTTGATTCGATGCTTTGAAAAGAGAACCTCTAAGTAATGCAAGCACTCAGCCGCACAAAAGGAAGCTTAAGGTGCAGCTTGCTTGGCGAAATACGACAATTGTGGTGCAGAGATTCGACTTCGTGCATAAGTGGACAACCTAAAGTTGTTCTGCTCGGGTGATATGTATAAACATATCACTATATATAAAAGAAACGCTATTAAAATTCATCACTTCGTGCATAAGTGTATAGCCTAAAGGTCATACTTAAAATAGTCAGCAAACAAGATAGGCACACAAAAACTCAAGACACATAAGGATCCTTTCCCGTCGTTATATAGTATTTAAAAACAATATTACAAAAGTCGGAAATACAATATCATGGAATCTCGGGCATATTGTTATCCCTTGCCATTTTATTTGCAATACTTTTCCTAAGCATGTTTATCTCAACTGCTTGCTCATGTGATGTATCATCTGCAACCTCCACTTCTGTAGCTCCAAATGGATACTCCGGATCTCCATAATGAAAGAGAACCTGCTGAGGGCCTAATTTACACTAAAGAAAAAAGAATTTAGCAGACAAAACTCATTGGCCAAAAGAGTAAAATACAAGCTACCCAATGTATTTTAAAACATTTATCAGTTGTAGTGGATGTCCCGTGTAAACCCAAGACTCAAATCTTAATTCTTAAGAGCATATCTTATGCTGCTATTGGACTTGAGCCACTGGGTACTAAGGACTTGAATGTTGACGATATCTCCAAGAAATCAGTAGTTGTTGGGACTGTGGACAAAGAAAAAGCAGAAGAGAGGACCCGGAACAAAAACATAAGAAGTATCATCCTCTACTCTCCCTTGCCCAGCGTAAAAGCAGCCACGGTAAGAATCACAAGGAATTGCCTAAGTTTTTATGCTCTTTCTTTCTTTTGGTGTACTGAATCTGCAGTTATCTATACAGGTAGGAGCTCCTAGTTAATATTAAATAAAACTTCAAGTCCTCAACCTATAAAGGCCAAAGTAGAGAAGTTGCTTCTCCAAACTGTCCCTAGAAAAGTTTTGACCTGAACTGTTCTTGGAATTAAGTGAAAACACAAATAATAAGCCAAAATTATATTATAAAGTATGACATATTTGTGTGCATATGTTCATCTTTTTACGAAAGTCACAAAAATAACAATTGCAAGAATCCATATTACCACTAAGTTGAGGCTAGTACTAAAGGCTTGGGCTGAAGTTCCTAAAAGAAAGCTGTTTGTTTCAGCTAAGTAAAGAGCATAATGCCCAACAAACAATACCCATCTTTTCATGGCATGACCCATTTTGCAATTCACATGAAAGCATGGACTCTCAAAATCTCGCACTAGCTTTCCTCCTATTAATTGGCTCTACTCATCAGTACTGAACTCCCCAAAAGGTGAGATTTTCTAGTCATCTAAGAAGTTAAGTCACAAAATTGAAAAATAAACGGACTAGCATTCCAGTCCCTTGATCCAACGATGTTCTTATCAACATATAACTCACTATAAAGATACTTCAGGTACAGCAAGCTTGCTCACTGACAACTAATGAAAAATACACCCAGACAGCAGTGCAAATTAAGTCTGCTTGCCTACACACTAGAATGTTAATACTTCTAATGGTCTTCTTATGTGCATACTGCACAATATAATGCACCTACAGAAGTAATACAGATTGTCCACCATGGATAACCACAAGAAAGGCGGCCTTGGCCCTGCCAACAGTCCACAGGATTATCGGCAATTTCATGAAGTTAACATAGTCTTGTCATACCACATTCCAAGCCAAGGACCATAAGAAAAGCTCACATATCAATGAAACCTTCATTAAAAATGGTTCCTCTTGTTTTCTTTGCTTGGCATAACAAATGGCTCCATGAATCTCCAATTGATAATAATCAGAACTAGAACAATGAAGAGAGAAATCATTTCAATAACAGGTGAGGATTTTACCTTTGTGAATCAACTTGGACAAATTACAGAAAGCAATCGACAGAAGCGTGGAGCTGAATCCAGGCGAAACGAAGTTCTACTCAAATTGATTAATCACCAATCAGCCTGTGTAATCTGATGAACAAAAATAGCAGAACCATTTAACAAATGAAAATCACCACCCCCAATGCAAAAAGGATTGCCGTTGTGAAAAGCAACACGAGACAATTACCAATGACCAATACCATATCACCATAGTTGCATAAAACAACGTCACAAGTTAGAAAAAGAAAAAACTGGGAATGGAACCAATTGTGCAGTCGATGAGGAAAGTTCAGGTTTTGAGGGAAACCCAAGATTACAACACGTAAACGTGAAGTGGGAAGGCGTCAAAAAATGGGAATTTGAGGCCGCAAAATGAATTTGCGGAGATTCAGAGCCACGCAAAATAAACAGAGGCAGGGACATGATGGTGTTCTCACCAATTTGGTGGAGGGATTAGAGTTCACACAAAGGAACAAAATGGTTGAGATGTGACCTGGAGAGGCTAACGCAGGTGAGGATAGTGTTGGCTCGCAAGCGAGCCCTCGCCCAGATCGGCCGTCGCCAAGATGGGCGAGCGCGGCGGAACTCGTTCGAGCGAGCCCTTGCCCAGATCTGCAGCGGCGGCGGCGCTTGGGTAACCGTCGCCGATCAAGGCAAGGGCTCGCGCGACCGAGGGCAGCCGCGCGAGCCCATCTTGGCGACGGCCGAGGCTCGAGCGAGCGCCGCCCTCGCCCAGGTCGGCGATGGCTCTCTCGAGTTCGCGCCGCCGCGTGAGCCCTTACCCAGATCGGCGACGGCTGCCCTAGCGCCGCCGCCGCGACGGCGTCTCTCCATAGTTGCAACTCATCACCAAGAACTCACCTCAAACGAGAAGGAGCAGCCTCGTTGGTGAAGGAGCAGCAGTCGTGAACTCCACGAGTAAAATGAGTTCTGGGCAGGAGAAGAAAACGAAGTTGTTGTTTTTGATTCTTTTTTTTGTTCCAGAATCAAGAAGCTACTTTTTTTTTATTCTTGATTCTGTTCTAAAACTGATTCTGGGAACAATTTTTTACAAAAATGTGCCCAGAATCAAAAAATTAAACAAACACATTTCTGTTCTCAAACTGATTCTGGAAACAAAAGAACAGAATGAAACACTATTTGGCACGTTGTCATGCGCAGCCTTAATTGCATAATGGTCAGTCCAATTTCACAATTTGATGTAAAAATAAAAAATCCCCAAAAATTGATTGAAAATTAAGAATTTTGAACCTAAATTGGGAATCATGCCCAAAATGAAATTTTCGAAATGTGAGATTATCATTTTTAGGGTTAATCAGGGGTGAGTAATGCAATTTTGGCATCAATTTTGCCTGATCAGGTCATTAAGACCTTGAATTGAACAAAACCCTATTAATCCGATATAAAAATGAGAAAATCTTGGGCACAATTATAATGAAAATTGGGGAAAATTATATGTTTGGATTCGGAACATGCTGGGAAATTCAATTTTAGGGTCAAATTTCGAAAATTCGGTCAAAATTAGATTTAATTTGCAATTTTATGCAAAACCGGAACTGCCGGGTCGGGCGGGTCAACCCGACCCGACCCGAACAGTCCTTCTTCCTCGCCCGACTCGGCCAAAACGCAATAAACCCAGAATTTCCCGCGAGTGTGCCTATGACTTTGCCTACTTATCCCGATCAATCTAGCACGTGTTTGATCGAGATGCCAGCTGGAGAATCTCCAGCTGGCACAGGTTAACGACTCCAACCGATTGGGAGTCAGTTTCAACGATTTTTGAGCGGGAAATCGAAGAACAAAAAAGAAGAAAAAAACTGAAGAAGAAAAAGAGAAGGTATTCGAGAAAATTCCCGAGAGAGAGAAGAGAGAGAAAGAGCGAGAAAGAGAGAGAGAGAGTGTTAGAGACGTGTAGAGGATTCAAAGATCGAGTGATCGGTGTTTTCTTCGACGAGAAAACGCCGGCGAATCAGCTCTGATTGTGATCCTCCACGTCCGGCGAGCCGGTGGCGAAGCCAGTCCGCGAAGGTCCGAAAACAAGCCCCGGCCGGCGATTCCAAAGCTACGGTCTTGAAGCCGTGGTGTTAAGGAAGAACTCTGTGACCATCACTGGTCTCGGAACCTCGTCGGATCATCAAACGAAAGCGGTAAAGATCGCTCATTGCCCTATTTTTGAAAAAATTCCAGAACCCAAGTTTTGATGTTCATGCGATTTTCCTTACGATTTTAGACTTGTGAATGTTTGAAGCTAGTTTCTGATCATGTTTTATGTTCCTTGATTGCATTTTGGCCATAAAAACTGCATAAAACCTTCTCGGCCACCATTGCCGAAATTCGCCGGAGCTCGCGAGGTGCTCGCCGGAGTGTCACCATGGCCAATGGCCGTTCAAGTAGGCCTTCCCTAACCTTGTATGATGATTTGATGTCTATTTTGAATGATTTAGACGGCCAAGGAGGTTAGAATTAGGATTAGCAATTCTGGAAATTATAAGTTTAGAAAAGTTTACAAGTTAGGCTATTAGGATCAATTTTTCGCCAGCCGGAGAAGGTCCGACGGCGACCGGAATAGGCTAGATGGAAAATAGAACATATGGGCTTGCTAATGGTATAATTAGAATGACCAAAATGTCACCGGAAGGTCGCCGGCGGTGAGCCCGAACCGGCAGTCTTGAGAACAAAAAAATGCAAATCCATGCACACCAATCGTTTGTTAAAATGCCTAAATGAGGGAAACCCAAAACGGTGCCGTTTTGGCACCGTGCTCGCCGGCGACGGCCGGTTCGGCCGAGGCCGAACCGGTCCGAACCGGTCTGGTCCGGTTCATTCCCCTCGGCACGAGAAAAAAATTCAAAAAATAGAAAAATTCTAAAAAAAATAAATAAATCACAAAAAAATTGAGATTTTCTTAGAAAATTAGGAAAATTTGTAGAAAATTCACAAAAATCATAAAAATCACAGAAAATTCAGAAAAAATTCAAAAATTTTCCGAAAATTCATAAAAATTTCGAAATTTCAGAAAATACAAATAAAAATTTTGAAAATTCTGAAAAATCAATAAAAAAATTGAAAAATTAGAAAATTCACCAAAATTTCCAGAAAGTCATAAAAAATCATTTCTCGATTTAAAAATTTTTCCGAAAAAAAAAATCAATAAAAAAAATCAAAAATTTTGAAAATCCACAGAATGATTAAAAATCATTGTCGCCAGTCATAAAAAGTGAAATTTGGATTTTCCAAAATACCTAAGTGACATAATTTGGAAAATTCCAAATTTAGGGCCAAAACCCCTAAAAACCCCTAAACCCTAAATAATGAAAGGAACAAGCTATTAAAGCTTTGTTAGGGTTTGAGTAGGTTTTCATTTCTAGTGACCAAATTAGGGTTGCTGTGATTGATTTGCCATTGGATGTGCATTTGATTCTTGGATGCTTAATTGTCTGTCTATGATTAGATTAGTGAAGTGACCTTAGGGATCCGTGTGATACGCTAGACATGCCATATCGTTCTTAGATACCGAAAGGGCGTTAATGGTCTCAATTTGGGATCGTTAACGTAACCAAGTCCCTTATCCAGAATCTTTGGTTCGTAGAATTGCGGTATTTCTCCTGTACCTCAATTAGGTTTCTAGTCGACCTACCGTAAATGACTAGTGGCGACTCCAGGTTTAAATTTAGATCAAACAAACCCCGCTATCACGTGAGGTATGGTCTGGGAGAAGCCCGTATAGAAAAATACCTCCATCGTAAAGCACGCGAGAGCGTGGTGCGACAGGCTTGGTGACTCCGCTGGGGAAATCTTAAATTTCTAAGTGGACTTAGGCCTAGATAGAACGATATGCATGCATTTGTGCTCGCAAGGATCCCAGGTACGTTCCACTAATGGCGTATTAAATGGTGATGCAGGTGGGAGGTATAAGGGGTGTAGTCTATGCTTACCTTTGTTTTGCAGGATGGTGTTAGAATTGAAGGTGATTTTGACCAAATTTTTAGAAGTGCCGTTTGGTTATAAATTGTAGTGCTTGCCTTTAAATTACTTTAGCACTACACTTTCCGCACACACTATCCGTGGCCCAACCCCGGCTACATTTAGGATCACCCTTATGAGGTATGTGTTTAGGCAAAACTATGAGCCGATTGCTCATGGGATTGTTTAAATACGATACCGATCACCGAGATGGAATAATATTCCATTACTTTAGGCCGATCGCCTATTGGAATGGAATCTCTTGTCCATTAAGGTGGTGACCTTGAGCCCTTAGTATATCCCCACCCTTTTAGGTGTCAAAGCCTCACTTGTTGCATATGACTGTCTTTGTGGTTGGTATACCTAAAACAAGCAAAAATGTGTCGATAAGTAAGTGTCGTTCCACTTCTCTCATCTTTTCAATTATGGAAAGTTAGTTGACACCATTTTGTTAAAAAATGCCCAAATGACAATCAATGTTTGGACAAAATGCCTTTTCATACTAGAATGAATGAATAGGGTGGCATGCTCCATTTGTTCACATTTTTCATTTCTAGATGGAATGTATAGGTCCATGATGATTTTCAATATAATTCAAATAGATTGAATGCTCAAGATGTGACAAATACAATCCCATTTGCCGAAAGTCTATTTTCGATGTATTCGAAGTTGTAAACCATAGGGTAGTACTTTATGGTCAAAATGGAGCATGTCAAAAGGCATTTGCTTTAAACATTGGTTTCATTCACATTTTCAAGTATATGATCTTTTAAGGCATAAATGGATTAGAAGTGGCATTTGTATTACGTCATAAGAATACAAATGTGCTTTACCTCCATTTTGTCCATAAAAGGACATATAATTAAAATAGGGGCATTTAAAATTAATCCATGGTGACTAATAATGAACTTTTTGCATGGTTAGATCGAAATGGGGAAACTAGACATACAAGTCATCCCGGTTCCAAGGAAAGAGCTTTTGGCATGGTGGATGAATATGACTAAAGGCAACAAAGCCTACGTGAGTGAAAGATTGGGATATTTGTTCAAACTCATCAATCTAGAGTACCAAGTGAGCTTGATTCAAGCATTATCCCATTTTTGGGAAGTTACCACCGCCACATTCCAATTAGGCGAGCATGAGATGGTACCTACATTAGAAGAGTATAAGACGACCATTGGGATTGATTTCGAATCAAGAATCGTTGAGCCCCCAATTGGATTGAAACCCACGAGTGTCATAGCCAATTTTTGAACTTGAAGACTCCTCAAGTGGAAAAGTTGATCAAGTCGAACACCGGGAAGTTCCTTTATCCTACTTGGTGGCTAATTACTCCAAATTGCCAAAGGAAACTGGGAGTACTTCCGCGAGAGTCTTCATCCTTGCTTTCTTCGGGTTCATCTTATTCCCTACATCAAAGACCAGATTGAATCCTCTTGTTGCGGTGATTGCTAGGCAAATTTGCCTAAAATGGGATTTCTCCAATATGCTTTTAGCGGAAACCATCATTTCTTTGAACAAATACCAACGTCACCAAAAAGGTGTACTGCAAGCCTCAGGCGGGTTACTTTCTGTATGGTTCATTTCCCATATCCGACCTTGGGAATGTCATATGCGCATTAGAGAGATCGACTTATCTACCAACCTTATTGAGAGGTATTCGAAGCTCCAAGACAAATTGCCAAAATACTCTTTTCATGAGTGGGCAAACTTCATTAGGGCATTGACTCCCGACCAATTCCAATGGAGAATTCAATGGCCAAAAATAGTGACAGCTCAAATCACTTGTCAAGAAGGCAACTTGGTGCCATTGCTTGGATTGAATGGTGGAGCCGCTTATTGCCCACTAAGAGTAGTACGACAATTTGGAATAATTCAACAAGTTCCACCTACTTGGCATCCCGAGGAATTCACATTTGATATACCACAAAAATCCCAATCGGAGAAAGAAAGTAAGGAGTTGCAAATAAAGGTTCAGAAGATCATGTATTCCTTGAAGAAATCAACCA